GAGTCATTTCAGCTCTGTCACATGACCCTAGACAAGTGATTTATGTTTCTGTGCCTGTTTCTCCCTCTCTAGAAATTGGGATACTAATAATTCCTCCCTCTCTGCATTGCTATGAGGATTATGAGTTCAGGAGTGCAAAAATGGTACTTCACATGGAATAGATGTTGATGCTACTCATTTATGGATTCCCTACTCTATGCCTTGTTCCAAATACTTTACCTCCAATAATTCATTTTTCCTAGGCAAAGTAAAACAGGGGCAGAAGGATCAATCCATAATTTTAATTTAAATTATCATTAATGATTATTGTGCTCATTAACTGTGGTTAAAAGGTGTTACCAAGTCGTCATAATTCCTGTGACTCCAAAGAATCTAATTGTTTTTATTTTTGTGGTGCTCTCCCTGCTGGCCTTGGTAAGGTTTATGTTTAATAAATATCCATACCTGTTATGTATAAATAAATAAATAAAGTTGTAAAAGGTTAGAGAATTTCCCATCTGAACACAAATCCAATGTGTGAAGATGACAAAAATAAAACACTAAGGGAACAGAGACTCCTGACAGTACCCTTTCTCTGAACCTAATTCTGCCTCATAGTATAGACACAAATCTGAATGAATCTTGTGACTTAATATTAAATAGTAAGCAGCTTCCATGTTGCTGGATAGTCCTTACAATGATCATTGATGACTGCAGAATAGCACCCACTTAATTGAATTGCCATAATTGAATTGAATTCATTATTGGATATTGGTGGATTTTTACCATTATAAATAACTCTGTGGTAAACATCACAGCACAAGCAACTTTTTCTTTCTTTAAATTATTTCTTAGTCTAATTCTCAGAGATGCAGTTACTGGGCCCAGGAGGCAAACAGAGGCTATTTGAAGCTATAATTGCATGCATCCCCCCTCAGTTAGTGGAGGATTCTATGCATTTGAGGGATGAACACTGTGGGGAAGGCAGGAAGAGGGAGAAAGGACTAGCATTTGTTGTTGAGTATCAGGCATAATGCTGGCTTAGTATTGAATCATTGAGGTGCTGCGATCCAGATTTGTCGTCATTGATGTTGTTTTGGCCATTTATGAAGACATTTACCGAGCAGTACATTAGAAGCTTTGTTCATTCAATCTAATTTAATCATCACAACGCATGCACTGAAGGAAATATTATTATTCCCATTTTACAATAGAGATAACAGGAACTTGGGGAGATTAAACCAAGGTCACAGCTAATGAGTAGAAAAATTTGGGTCCAACTTGATTCTCCATCTGTTCTGTCACATAGTGCTCCACCCCTTCCCCAATCCCCAACCCTGAAATTATAGATGAGATTTTTCACCTTCAGTTCTCTATGGATAAAGGGAATGCTGGAGATGGGGGTAGGAGAAGGTCTGTTCTGAAGGCGACTGGATCCTTCTCGCCCTCTGCCTATACACCATTTCTTTTTTCTTTCTTGCTGGTGAAAAGCATAATATTAAACTCTTTCTTTCTCTTTCTCTCTCTCTTTCTCTCTCTTTCTCTCCAAGGAGAGGGCTCTCTGTAAATAAAGTACCCACAATTATCAAAGATGATGATCAAGGACTTATCAGATGTCCCTTGAGGCTAAATAGCTCTCAGAACAAATATTACTGAAACCTGAGTACATGTACTGGTCCTGTCCTTATGTTAAAATAGCTCTCTCACCCTAGCCAGTGCCCCGTTTTGCGAGCTCGATCCTCAATAGAGGTTGTGCAGGAGGCAGCCAATCATTAATTCTATCTCATCTTTGATGTTTCTATCTCTCACTCCCTCTCTCTTGTTCTCTGAAGTCAATAAAAGTATATATATTTTAAATAACAATAAAATAGCTCTCTCGTGGCATTATTTGATCTGGCCCAACATTTACCAACTTTTGCACACATTTCAAAATCTCAATAAATCATCTAATCTCAGAATATAGTTTAACCTTTTTTCCCTACCAAGAGTCCTGTATTATTTTTCCTTCATATTTTGAAAATTGTCTTTCTCAAACACACTGAATTAATAAAATTCCAGATGTTGCCTAATGATATATATATGGGCCACTGACATCCTGGATATCTTAGTTAGAACTACCAAGGAACAGGCTGCAGATGAAGGCAATTATGGAAAAACAAGGGTTGGAACTTGCATAGACCAAAGAGACCAGACTTAGTGAAATGAATGAGTTAGGAGCCCCTGCTGGGTATGACAGAGATCATCTGCACGACTCTGTGAGCTGAGATCTGCAGACCATGCACACATCAGCCTCTTTCGGATGAAAGTAACAGAAATCTGACTGGTGGAACACAGGGAAATTTATTGGCTCCTAGCTGGACATTCTAAGGGTACTCTTCAAGTGTAATTTGATCAAAGTGTTTAAATGGAATCATCAGGAATGTGTTCCCATCTCTTTGCTTTCCTCTCTCCAGAGTGATGACAAGATAATCTCTAGAAGCTTTGGGCTTATTTTCCACAGAAATCCTAGTGGGTTTTATGTATTTCCCAGTTGTCCCATCAAAAGTCCCAGAACTGACTCTCCATTAGCCTGAATTGACTCCTTTCCACCCTTTTCCCGCCTTTGTAGCTAGGAGGCTGACCTGCGTTGATGCATCAATGGTTCCCTTTCCTTATGCCTTCCTTTAGGCATTTTCAGTGAGAAGACCAGCAGAAGACTGCAGGAAGAGAGACAAATAAAGATGCTCATTTTACCCAGATCCCTTTGGAAGAGTTAGCTGTGTCTCATGGCCAATAATCACAGGTTCTGCCTCAGCTCTTTCCACATAGCTTTCCCTCTTTTAGTGCCAGTAATGGCTCCTCAATCTTGCCTCTACAACCTCTGGGTGGTACCAATGACCCAATGGAACCAGGTATAAGTAACCTCAGGAATAGCACTATCTCTTATGCTTTTCCATACTCTGCCCATACCTCTGTGGGAAGGTCGATAACCCAATCTGAGAGTTTAATCTGTTTCCAGGATCCTAGCTAACATGCCCATCCCTGAATAAAATCCATGTTTCTTGGACGGTCCTGAGTCACATGCCTACCCCTGAAACAAAGGGCTGAAATCAGCTCCATCCAAGCCACGGTTCTTGAGGGTAGAGGAGCAGTAGTTCCCCAAACGGACAGACAAAAACAACCTATGATCACTACATTTAGCAAAGTAGATAATGAGGAATTCTAATCATCTGTGTTAGACAACCCAAGCATTCTTCAGAAGCAGCACCAAATGGAAATAAGGATACATTTCAGGGAATAAATTCATGCTGAAACAGCCTTTCATCCATGTACATGCAAACCAATAGCCACTCATTTTCCAAGTTCTGGGTCTGTTGACAACTCTCTCCTGGAACAAATTGAAATTCTATCATCGATTCACTTTGAAATATCATAAAGCAGCATAGGCCTTAGCTGGCTGAGCAATAAAGCAGGCCCTTTGGCAACTTAAATGACCTGCCCCTGACAGCAGGACAGAGGACAGGGCATTAAACTTTGCCAAGAATGGATAATTTGGAAGCTGCCTAGTAGCAGAAACGACAAGGCCAAAATCATAATCTTCGGGGGGAAATGACATCAGTTGAAGGATAAACATAAAATGGGAAAATAGCAACCTCATCACAGAGCAGTAAATGCTTAGAAGAACATTTAGCCTGATGCCACATAAAACCCCTATATCTTAGCAAGGAATCCCTTTTATATATGGCTAGCTGCCATTATAATGACTGGCACTGTGATGGATGAGTCACCTTGCAGGTAAAACCATGGACCACTACCCTCAATGACTCTCAGACCTTTACCACTACTCAGAAAAGCATTGCTGCCTTAGCCAGTTTGGCTCAGTGGATAGAGCATGGGCCTGCGGACTGAAGGGTCCCAGGTTTGATTCCAGTCAAGGGCACATGCCCAGTTGTGGGCTCCATCCCCAGTGGGGGTGTACAGGAGATAGCCGATCAATGGTTCTCTCTCATCATTGATGTTTATATATCTCTCTCCCTCTCCCTTTATCTCTGAAATCAATATATATATTAGTGCTGATGTCAGTTACCTCATCCCCAACACCATGTTTTGATGGAGGCTCCAATGTGCCTTTTTAATGAGCAGATTAGCATTCAATGACATGCTGAGGCTATTTGGCTTTCTTTGTTGGTTTTCTCAATGCAGCCTCAGATGCTGCTTTAGTTGGAGTTCAGAAATATGCATTTGCCTGGAGGACAGGCCTCCTGAGCCACTTGTGTGTCTCTCCTCATCCCACTAATAACTCCTTTGTGATACGATTCCACCACAGTTCTCTTAATCCATAAAGACACTTTAATATCAGCTCTTTGGAGAAAAGAGGGATCTAAAGGATCCCTTTGCTTCAGTGCTTCTGGAGTTTAGGAAACAGAGAGTTTGGATCCAAGAGAGAGAAGAAATCTAATCTCTAGTTAAGGAAATCCACACTTGGGCCCATTGGGTATAATGAAAAGTCTGTGAACATTAGTGGCAAACAAATCAGGCTCAAGTCCTAGTATATAACCTTGAGCAAGTCACACCTTTATGAGTCTAAGTTTTATCTAGTATTATTGTTTCCAAGACACTAATGATTTGATAAGCATTAAAAATAAAAATAAGTTCTGAGCCCAGGTACCTCTGATTAGTATTTCCAAGGACATTTCTACTTTAAAGGACCCTTCTAAGCAAAAGTCATCATAAACTTAGAGAACAGAATACAGTAGTGGAAGCATGCCACAAAGATTTCATCTCACCAGCCATTTCTGCTTGATTTGTAATATTTCCCTGGAACACTATATTCAAAAGGATTCTGAGGTCATATTTGGGCTCATTATCTGAGCTCAATGGAAAAGAATGCCCTCGTCAATGGGCACAAGAAGAGGATCTGGCACCAGGCATAACATCTCTGCTGTAGTGATTGAGAGAATTGAGCTTGAAAGTCAATTCTTGAAGGAAGTAATGTGTATTCGCTCTTGCTTCAATAACAAACAACACAAATACAATTTCAGTGGCTTATGAATATAAACACTTATTTCTTATCACATAGAGAGTCAGGCTGTGGGTTGGATTGGGTCTCCTCCACATTTCTTCTTATTCCAGGATCCAGGAAGAAGGACTATCTTTCATTTGGGATATGTTGTGCTGTGGAAAGAGCAGAAATTCCAATGGGTAAGCCAAATCAGACAATCACATTTAAAACTTCTGCTCAGACATAGCATAAATTATATCATTCACATTTCATTGGCCAAATCAAGCCATATGGCAAAGCCCAAAGTCCATAGGGAAGGAATATATAATCTTCCTAGGGAAAATGGCAATCAATGCAATCTACCAGATGGTTTTTAAGAAAGATATTTTTGGAATTGAGATGCTGTATCTGTAATGGGGAATGAATATGCTATACTACTTATACTAGTCTGACTAGCCATAGAATAAAACTTAAATTAAAATGTACTAACAAGTAAACTTAAAAGGAATTTATATAAAGCTACCCACATTAATCTTTGTAAGTGTTAAACCCAGTTTGTTCACCTCTGGCCAAATTCTCCTTACAGTTTAACAGCCTGTCCCAGGAACAAGGAATGCCAATGCCTACAGTTAAACCACAGATGTCCAGGTAACACACATTGAAAAATAACTTTGATACAGAAAGAATGAGCCTGAGCAAAGACTGCATATTGCCAGAAATTACACTGACCCCCCTCCCCTGATCTCTTTGTTCTACCCTCCCTCTTTCCTTATAAAAACTTCTGCCTGCCCTGAGATGTTAAGACGGTTTTTGAGCCACGTTGGTGTGGCTCAGTGGTTGAGTGTCAACCTATGAACTAGGAAATTGCAGTTTGACTCCAGGCAGGGCACATGCCCTGGTTTTGGGCTCAATCCCCAGCAGGGAATTTGCAAGAGGCAGCTGATCAGTGATTCGCTCTCATAATTGGTATTTCTATCTCTCTCCCTTTCCCTTCCTCTCTGAAATCAATAAAAAAAAAAATTTTTTTTTTTTAAATAGATGGTTTTGGAGGCATGAACCTGCCATCTTCTCAGGTTGCTGGCCCCTGAATAAATCACTTTACTTCTCACAAGCACTCGTCTCATGAGTTTGACTTTTATATTGGCAGGCAGCTAAGCCTGAAGGTCATTTCCCTGGTTTCATGTCTATTTTTTTCTTATTTAATAAACTACACATGTACTATACCTGTATTTTAAAAATTAGAAGTTGTAAAATCCTCGTGTGTCTTATGGATATTGGGAATCCCCCAGGAGAGAACAAGCTGATAACTGGAAAGTGGAGGATGCCTATGCTAATGAAAGTAGGGGGAGAGGAAGAACTCAAAAAGCTGGGGGCTCTTTAGGAAATATGTGAGTTTAAAGGAGATGATGGCAAGGGAACATAGTAAATGACAAGTAATCCACAGTGGAAGCCTTAGAAAATCATCAACAGCAATTTTATGAGCAAGTGGGGTGGTGTCCTGGTTGTGCCACTTGGGTAGCATAAGACCTGCAGAAGGCACAGAGGGCTTAGAACAGAGGTGATTGAGTGAATGATTGACTAAACGAATGTTAAAGATATCTGGAAGGCAAGGAATATGGGACACTTATAAAAAAAAAAAAAAAAAAAAAAAAACAGGTATCATCTAAGAGAACAGCTTCAACAGGGAGCATTAGTAAACAATTGAATATTTATTGAGTAACTACTAGGTATCAGGTACCATACCAGCTGCTGCAGGTACAACAAAAGAGACAGGTTGGTGTGTTTTTTTTAAAGCAACTAACAGGTCACCCTCAACCAATATTTTGTTTCCACCAACATAACACCAGCCTACCCACTCAATAGACATTTTTTTTTTTTGCTTCCTTTCTATTACACTAAGCAATACATGCCCCATCTAGATCCCATCCCTTTTTCATTGTCTTTACTCCTACAATTAAGCCTTTTCTCTCCCAAATTCTCACTCCCTACCGAGTCATTTGCATAGTTACACAAACATACTATAGCTGGATGGGGGAAAGCAAGATTTTCCTTTCTAAAAAGAATTTGGAAAGGAATACAAATTGCATTTCAGTTGCCACAGTGACCAGGGACAATACTGGCATTAAGGGAGAGCCAGGGATGCTAATTGTGTTGTATCTTACTTAAAAAGAAAAACTCCCTTGCCCGGCCAGTGGTTTAGTGGTTGACTGTCGACCCATGAACCCGGAGGTCACGGTTCAATTTCCAATCAGGGCATTTGCCCGGATTTCGGGCTCGATCCCCAGAGGGTGTATGTAGGAGGCAGCCGATCAATGATCCTCATCATTGATGTTTCTCTCTCTCTCTCTCTCTCTCTCTCTCTCTCTCTCTCTCTCTCTCTCTCTCTCTCTCTCTCTCTCCCTCTCTAAAATAAAATAAAAAGACATTTTTAAAAAGACAAAAAAAAAAGAAAAACTGCCTTAAATCCCACAACGTTCTCCAGCCAGCTACTGGAGAACATTACCAGCTACTCCTCAAACCTTCCACAGAAAAACTTCTTGCTGGAATTATCTAGATCTGTGGTGGACCGTTAGACAAACATGAGCACAACTCCAGGCCCAGAAAAGCAGCAAAACCAGACAAGCGACACCATGACTGTCTCTGGACCAGATACCCCCTGCCCTGGTGCCAACTAATCAGTAAAGACCATGAACCTGAAAGGACACACCTGGAAAACCGATGAATATTCTATTGAGTTTCTCCCCTGCGTCCTCCCCCATGATTCCTGCCTGCAAGAGAGAGATAAAAGAATTGAATTGGAGAAGGGGAAAATAGACAATTCTACAATATTAGTTGGAGATTTCACCACCCCACTTGAATGGGATAGAACAATTAGACAGAAGATCAACAGGAAATAGGGGACTTGAACAACACCATAAACCAACTAAACCTAACAGACATACATAAAACACTCCACCCAACAACTGCAGAATACACATTTTCTCAAATACACATGGAACGATCTCCAGGAGAGACCACATGCTAAGCAACAAAACAAGTTTCAATAAATTTAAAAGGCTTGAAATAACAAAGTATCTTCTTTCCCACCACAGTGGCATGGAAGTAGAAATAAATAACAGAAGGAATTCTGGAAAATTCACCAATATATGGAAATTAAACACACTCTAACAATCAATGGGTCAAAGAAGTTCCAGGCAAAAATTTTGGAAATTCTGCCTCACCTAGCATCCCATTAATTATAGTGCCAGTTTCTTAATATCTCAGAGGAAGCAATTGTCTAATGTATAAGAAAGGCTATGAATTTCTATACAGATCAGTTTTTGCTGAATAACAAACCACCATAAAATTATCATGCAACAATAAGCATTTATTTTCATACAGGTATTCAGGTTGGCTAGAATAGCCTGCTTTTGCAGGTCTAAGGGAAAGCTGAGATATTCAGACTGAAGGTGCAACAGCTACCTGGGTCTTTTTCTTCTCATGACAAGAGAACAAAAGCTCCCAGAGCAATGAAGGGATGCACATAATTCCTTAGGCCCGTGGTGGGCAAACTGCGGCTCTCAAGCCACATGCGACTTTTTGGCCCCCTTGAGTGTGGCTCTTCCACAAAATATCATGGCCTGGGCAAGTCTATTTTAAAGAAGTGGCATTAGAAGAAGTTTAAGTTTTAAAAATTTGGGTTTCAAACGAAATTTCAATCATTGTACAGTTGATATTTGGCTCTGTTGACTAATGAGTTTGGTCTACCACTGGCCTAGGTTTACATGTTGTATATTATCACTGCTGCCCATGTACCTATTGGCCCAAGCAAATCACACAACCAAGTCCAACATCAGTGAAAACAGGAAGAATACTTACCCCTACCATAATAATTGGAGGGAAAGGAATGAGTATTTGCTGAACAATAATCTACTTTTCCTCAGCTCCCTTGGAGAAAAACTTTGAAAAATGGTGCTGGCATTATTACTGTGGATGCTGAATTATAATGTCTTCTTATTTACCACTAGTGTATCGGTGCACGAAATGAGTGCACATTAAAAGAGAATTAATTAGAGGAAATATTTTAATATTGCCCTTTCTCTATAATAGAAGTGCCAGAGATGAAAAAAAATTAGTAAAATGTATATGAAAATCTCCCTCCTGTCAGAGTCTGGAGTGCCTCGTGGGACCTAGAGTAAAGTCCCCACCCACCACCTGCACGTGCTTCAAAAATGCAAAAGACCCAGACCTGGCCAGCCCCACCCCATTGAGTGAGACCTAGACCTGGCCTCCCCCACCCCTATCAAGCCCCTCAGCCTCAGGTCCCTGGCCCAGCGCTGGTCTCAGGCCCCCGGCCAAACCCTGCCAGGCAAGGGGCTTGGCTTGAGGTCCCCTTGTCAAGGCCTGCCAGGTGGGGGGGGGGGGGGGGGGGCACAGCTTGAGCCCCTTTTCCTTCCTTTCCCCCCCACCTCAGCACCTGAGGTCCCTCATCCCAGCCAGGTGCCATACAGCCTCAGGTTCCTATTTTCAGTCATGACATTACAGTGTCCTGGCTAATTTGTATATTCCTCTATTATTAGATAGATGTTGGTTGTATTAGAAATGAATGTTTAAGACTCATCTTCTTTCTGTATTTGTAACTATTAAAAGCCATATAGAAATGTTAAATTCTTCAAAACTACTTTACCTGATACATTCAATAACCATTGACTTACTAATGTATTCTTTTTTTTTTTTTTAATATATTTTATTGATTTTTTACAGAGAGGAAGGGAGAGAGATAGAGAGCTAGAAACGTCAATGAGAGAGAAACATCGACCAGCTGCCTCTTGCACACCCCCTACCGGGGATGTGCCCGCAACCAACGTACATGCCCTTGACCGGAATCGAACCTGGGACCTTTCAGTCTGCAGACCGATGCTCTACCACTGAGCCAAACCGGTTTCAGCACTAATGTATTCTTAACTCAGTAGCATTATCACCTCAAGAATTTTTGTTTCAACACAATTTCTTTTTGTACCAAATAGAATTTTTTTTTAAAATGTCTGTATATATGTCAAAGCAAAAAAATAAATCTGGCACTATCAATAGGAAATGAATTAATATACCCTTTCTGTAAAATCTTTCTAAAAGGAAAATCCCTCTGACATCTGAATTTTTAACTTATTGTTGAAAAATTCAACCCTCAGAAGGAATCTTAGTGAACTTTATCTCTGTTGAAGTAAAAAATACCCTATATAAATACAGTAAGTCTAATCTTCCCTAGTTCATAAGATCTTGCTAATATTTTCACATAAAAAAGCTGATTGCGAATGATAACATTATTCTGAATTCTGCATCACTCAGTCAATTGATGACACATAGCCTTCTCTCGTGCTAAGACCCCTCTTTCAATAAATATCTCTCCCCCAGATTGCTATCCTATTTGTTTCATTAAGAAGTGTTGAGGGTGGATTGAAGAAGCTACACCGAAGAAGAAGCAGAAGAAGAAGAAGAAGAAGAAGAAGAAGAAGAAGAAGAAGAAGAAGAAGAAGAAGAAGAACAACAACAACAACAACAACAACAACAACTTGGTGAAAAGAAATATACTTTTATCTTAATTTCATGCCAGGAAATATGAAGTCATGAAAGCATACTGAAAAGGGTAGATATTTTTTAAACAGGACCTTAAGAGCCAGGCCCAATGCCTGTTGCCAAATGCAATGAAGAATTGTTTGAAGAACAGAACATTGTTCTGAGATTGAGCCAACTTAGAAAGGCTGATACACCATAACATTTCTAGCTTGTATAACCTCCCTGCCCTTGAAATGAACTCTAGATTGAGGCAGCATAGCCAAAGTTGACAATAAGATAAAGAGTACATGTCTAAGTCATATAGCACCCAAAACCTCACTATTCAAGACAGCCTAGTGGAGAAAAGATTCCATTGGTGGAAAATCTCAATCCCATTATTTCCAAATACAAGGAATACCTCTGGATTTAAGAAATTGACAAATGAAACCAAAGTTTTTCCACTTCTCCTTCCATAAATGCCATTGAAAAAAACAAAGATATTTTTAAAAAGAAGAAAAAGAACACACAAATAGCGGTACTAGGAAAATCGAGAGGAATGCTATTACCACCAAAGAAATGTTGATGAATTGCTGAAGATATGAAGCAGGTAGGATAACTATAAATCAATGTGTAATTTTAAAATCCAGCAGTTATTGCGTAAGGCCTGTGAAATAAAAATTATTTTCAAAATATTAAGAAGATATTATTTGTTGGCATTTGTCCTGATGGAACAAAAATAATTGTGGGTAACTTAGGCACCTAACTGGTACAAGTAGTCATTGTATTATTAATCACCAGACATTGGGAGGTGGGGGTTACATGAGAATACTCTTGATTAAGCCATAAAAATGATTTATGTTATTAAAATATTGTGAAAAATTGGAAGTACATATAAAGCATTTTTGTTGAATACCAAAATATGATGGTTATCTTGAAGGAGAAAAAAGCACGTGTACAATTAATTTAAGTTGGTTACTTTTTTTCATGGAATACCATTTGTTCTTGAAAGAACAACAGACAAACCATAGCAATTGAGAATTGGGTATCTGGAAAATATTTTCTCAAAAATAAATGAAATGAGCCTGTTACTGCAAGGAAAATAGCTGGCAGTATTTGTTGCCAATGATAGCATTCTAGCTTTCAAGGGAAAATTAAATTTTTGGAAAACTTGTACACACCTCCATAAGCCTGACATCATCCTAATACTTGAGACGTTTTTTATTATTATTGATTTTTTACCGAGAGGAAGAGAGAAGGATAGAGAGTTAGAAACATCGATGAGAGACAATCATCGATCAGCTGCCTCTTGCAAACCCCCTTACTGGGGATGTGTCCACAACCAAGATACATGCCCTTGACCGGAATCGAACCCGGGACCTTTCAGTCCGCAGGCTGATGCTCTTTCCACTGAGCCAAACCGGTTTCGGCTACTTGAGACTTTTTTGATTATATGAGTAGCACTATTAATAAGTCTGATTTATTGATATTGTATAATTAAAGGTATCAACATTTGAAAGATCTGCATAATGCAATGAGCCAATATTTTCCAAATGTATGATGTTACAAAATCATGCATGGATAATCAAAAAATGTTAAAGTGCAAAATAGATGACTCAATTTAAACATAATAGAATACAAAATTCATCTCTAAGATTTCAGATTCCACATTTGACCATCCTTTAAGAAATTTGTCAAGTTTTGGTGTAGTATCAAAGAAGATTATTCATATTTATTTAAACAAGTTATTAAAGTACTCCTCTTTTTTTCCAATTACATAGCTATGTGATACTGGATTTTATTCATATACTTCAACCAAAGTTATATATATATATATATATATATATATATATATATATATATATATATATATATATATATATAAACAGGGAATATGCTAATTAGCCAGGGGTCACGACTGCTCAGGAGGAGGCTGCATCAGGATCACTCAGAAGGAGCTGTGTATGCAGATGGGTGGGAGGGGCCTGCGTGCCACCCCAGCCCCTACGGCCAGGGGGAGGCTGAGGCAGGGGACGGGCCAGAGTAGAGGCACAACACACAGGAGCAGCTGCCCTCACCCCAGTGTACACAATGCGGCGGCCAACGCTACAAGTCAGGCATGGGTCCTGGCACCCCGTGGGGTGCCTCCTCACATGGCGGGAGGCTGGGGTTTCAATTTCAATCGCGCTTTGGGCTTCTAGTCCTATATAATAAAAGACTAATATGTAAATTGACTGAACATCTGAACGACTGGTCACTATGACAAGCACTGACCTTCTGGGGTAGACGCTCAATGCAGAAGCTGCACCCTGGTGAACAGTTTGCTCCCACAGGGGGAGCACCTCTCAGCCAGAAGCCAAGCTTATGGCTGGTGAGTGCTGTGGCTGGAGAGACTCCCACTACCACAGCAACACTAAGCTGGCAGTCAGACATCCACCGAGGGCTCCCAGACTGTGAGAGGGTGCAGGCTGGGCTGAGGGACCCCTAGTATATTATATTACAAAAGATTGACTACGGAAGCAGATGTGGGAACCTATCTTCTATTAAGCAGTTATTAAAGGGCTCTAGCCAGTTTGGCTCAGTGGATAGAGCATCAGCCTGTGGACAAAAGGGTTCCGGGTTCGATTCCGGTCAAGAGCATGTACCTCACTTGCAGGCTTCTCCCTGGCCCAGGCCCTGGTTGATTACATGCAGGAGGCAACCAATCAATGTGTTTCTCTCACATCAATATTTCCCTCTGTTTCTCCCTCTCCTATCCACTCTCTCTAAAAATCTATGAGGAAATATCCTTAGGGGAGAATTTAAAAAATAAAAAAGAAAGGAAGAAGAAAAAGAAAGAGAGAGAGAGAGAGAGAGAGAGAGAGAGAGAGAGAGAGAGAGAGAGAAAGAAAGAGAGAAAGAAGTTATCAAAGGAATTTGTAAAAAATGTAAAACAATGCTACTCTTCTAAATTTTTTTGAAAAACACCGTAATTTTTAATGAAATACGTTATTTACATTAACATGTTGTGGATTTGTATTTAAAACATATAAATATGTTTTCATTTCTCTATTTTTAATTTCTAACACAAGAGCTATCCATAGATAGCCCTCACACACAAAAGCTCTTTGAAGTCCTTAGTTATTTCTAAAAGTATACATTAGTCCTGACACCAAAATTTTGGAGACTCGGTGCTGTATTTACTTTCACATTTGTTATAGTTGGTTTCTACCTTCCAGAGTAAAAAAGAAGATGGGGGGAGGGGCATGGGGGATGGAGGAGGGACACTGATAGTATCCCAACTGCAACCAGAAAATGGGAGGGAGGAAGACACACCACAGGGCGTCATGGGGGTAAATCTCCTCATATTTTTCATGAGACTAAAGTCCTGGAGGGAACATGGATATCTCTGCCATACATCAGTAATGACTAGAAGTGGCAGTTTGAGAACAGGTTAGGGAAGGCCAATGGATGGATTTCCATATAACTCATTCATACCTGGGGTTGCTGCTCTGGTCTCATACGTATTTGAAGAAAAGTGAGAGGATCAAATAAATAACCTGTGATGAAAAGAAAAGAAAAACATCTGGTTTCAGTTTGACTCCCCTGTCTTAGGCAGCCATACTATGAGTCTGTACATTGGAACAGGCAGTTTCTTCTTCTAGGAAGTTTGCACACCCTATAATCTATCCCTGGCCTGGCTGTAAAGATGAGGAATTGATGATATCCAGGGATTCAAGGCACAGGCAAAGCCTCAAAACAAGCATTCAGATCCTCACAGATGATCATGGTTAAGCACTCAGTTGTGTATTTAATCAGCAAGAGTTAAGTGTATTCACCAAGACTTAGTGCATTTACCACTAAGAAAAGGTTTTTAGAGTAAACTTATAATATAAATGGATCTGCTACAAAGTCCACTCTCTTTCAGACTGGCATACATTCTCTTTTCCTTTTAGAAGTAACTTCTTATTCTCAGTCTAGTGAGGAAATTATTACTAAATCAGTAATAAGGTAGTTCAGTAAATTGATGTTTCAATAATTCTGAGGACACAAAAAAATCATTCTATTAAAATTATCAATGAAATGACTTCACTTCCCAAATTATCCAATGTAGTTTTCTAAAGACTTATAAAATTAGCTCCTTTTTCTATTCCTATTCTGGTGATTTAATTTGACATTTTAAAAAGCACATTATTGATGGAGTTATGAGTCCTGAAAGAACTAGAAAAAATGGCTCACTCTGTCATTCATTCACTCAGACATCTGTGGGTGAGACTGAAAGTTCCAAACCTCTAATAACACTCTTGGTTCCCCTGGCAACTAGCATAATCCATAGTTGCTTTCCAAAAGTCACCTGACTAACATAAACTCAGGTGTGGTTGGAAGAGTTTTGTTATATATTAAGATATCTTTATTGCTCTTATCATTTAGGAAATTCTATGCCAGAAATGAAAATGAAAACCAGATACATATCTTACATTATAAATCACAATTATCACAGCAGGTCACACATTAAAATCTATTGCAACATTCCCACCTACTCTGAATCCTTCCATATGCTATGTGAAGGAAGTTCTGGCACCAAATTTCAATGAATGTAGGCCATCATTGAGTCCAGAATTTAGTCATTCAAGCTATGAGACTCATTTCTAGATTTAGCTAAAACATTAAATTCAAAATATCTGGTAAGTGTACCTATATCAATATTACAAAACTATAGTCTGTACTTTTTGCACACCCTATAATCTATCCTCACACATATTTCCTGGGTTTCTACTTATATGAATTATCAAATTCCTGCAGTTATTTTGACATATAATCAGTTTTCTTCCCAGGTCAGAATCTTCATTTGTCCTTGAGCATCCTATATAATAAAAGGGTAATATGCAAATTGACCCTAACGGCGGAACAACCAGAAATGACCAGTCCCTATGACGTGCACTGACCACCAGGGGACAGACACACAACAAGAGGTGCTCCCTGGTAGTCAGTGCGCTCCCACAGGGGGAGCTCTGCTCAGCCACAAGCTGGGCTGATGGCTGTGAGCGCAGCGGCAGTGGCAGGAGCCTCTCCTGCCTTTTCAGCAGCACCAAGGATGTCCAACTGATGGCTCCCAGACTGCGAGAGGGACCAGGCTGGGCTGAGGGACCTCCCCACCCCTGAGTGCACGAATTTTCATGCACCAAGCCTCTGGTGCTAAGATATAACTCTAGTTTAGATCTAGATTAGGAAATAAAGGACAGTTAATATGGGCCTTAAAGGGAATAAGCATCCCCTTGTAAGTAACTGCCTTAAGTAAGGTGATTATAGAGCCTTCAAGAAGAAAAGGTCATAAGAAGAGAGAGCTTCTGCTCGCTTAGAAAGACCTGGACATTTAGCTTCACCCAAGTCAATTCAAAGCTTCTCAGAGAAATGATACGGCATTAATCCAAGACATTGTTGTTACTATCAGCATCCTTACCTTTCATAACTATCAACACTGATACGCCTTTCATCAGAGAAATTTAAACAAGATTTACAAAATAGAGGTTCATTTATTCACAGAACACGCCTTTGAAGCAAGGCTATAATTCCAAAATACAGACATAATAAATGACTTGCCCGGATTTTCGAACAAGTCGGGAAATGATAGAGGGCCAGGATTCCACTCTTGTACGAATAAATATATACGTGCTGGCTCTCAGCACGGCACCATAAATAACCCCATCCCTGGCATTTCAGTCTCTCCCCAAGTAATTGAGTGTTTAAATGATGTGCAAACCTTCACTGTGGCTTTAAAAATTGTCTATGTCTGGCATTCTTTTTAAAGGAATAACTTTTAAAAGTTTAACATTAACCTTCCTAGGAAAGTCAGAGAATAATACTAGTTTTCACCTTCTATAAAAAGACAACCCTAAAAGAATATTGTGCTTTTTGAAATAACAGTTCTGATCATACTATTTAGCCTAAAATCATTAATTTAGCAGGAATATTCTAAAATGCATTATCCTAATTATGAAAACTTTCTAAAGAAAAGGAAGCTTAAAAGACATGAATCAACTTCCCCTAACCTCAGCTTCCTTATTTGTAAGGTATTCTTATTCCTCCCAGCTTAACTAATTGAATTGTCTTGAGGTTCAAATAAAAGATTGAAGGTGCTTTATAAAGTCTGAAGCTCCAGATAAAATATTATGTATGTATGAAACCTGAATTCTTTTTTAAAATATCCTTTTATTGATTTCACAGAGGAAGGGAAAGAGAGATAGAACTTCAATGATGAGAGACAATCACTGATCAGCTACCTCTTACATGCCCCCCACTGCGGATCCAATCAACACCCCAGGCATATGCCCTGAATGGTATCATTCATAGGTCAATGCTCAACCACTGGGCAACACTGGCCAGGCAGGAACCTGAATTCTTTATACAAGTATAATTCCTGCCTCCCACCCATCCCAATGTGAGAAAACATCTGATTTGCCAAATTCAAGGCCTCTCAATTAGAAGCCTATTTTTTTTCAAGACCAACAGTTCTCAACTGCAGTGTCTAGAAAAGGAATGTGTGGCATTTATTTGTGCAATATGTCACAATTTAAAGTGACAGTGAGTTAGGCCTTTTATAAAGAGAACTAGAGGCCCGGTGCATGAAATTCATGCACTCAAGGGGGGGTGCTCAGTCAAGCCTGCACCCTCTCGCAATCCTGAAACCCTCAGGGGATGTCTGACTGACAGCTTAGGCTCACTTCCTGCTCGCTCCCTGGAGGGAGTGAGCCTTAGCTGGCAGTCAGACATCCTTAGCACTACTGCAGAGGCCGGAGAAGTCCTGTCACTGACACTGTGTTTGCCAGCTGTGAGCCTGGCTTCTGACTGAGCAACAATCCCCTGTGGGAGTATACTGACCACCAGGAGATAGCTCCTGCATTGAGTGTCTGCCCCCTGGTAGTCAGTGCGCATTATAGCAACCGGTCATTTGCCCATTCGGTTGATTTGCATATTAGCCTTTTATTATATAGAATTATGCTAGAATGTTACTCAGTGCAATGGCTGCCTCAGTCCTTTTCTGAGTGAATTACCACATCCTTCAGCTTCTGATTCTCACATAATCTTTCCTAATCAGAGCCAGAGCTGAATTAAAAGGTGGGTAGTTGGGCAGTTGACCAAATCATTAATCTGTAGAAACTATAGGGCACTAAAATATCACTAGAATAATTAGTAACTATAGAAACAATTAAGGTTTCTACAGGCAAATTCTTAAACAGTTGCGAGATGGCTTAATTTACATATCAACAAAAATTTACAGTTTATCTATCAAATAAATAGTTTAACATCAAGTACAATGGGAGATAAAAAGGAATTTTAAGGGATGTGCCATACACATTGAGATTTATTCCAACTTTGTCACCAATTATCTATGTGACACTAGTCATGTGATAGCTCTGGGATTCATTATTTTCTTCCTTTAAAATGTGGGAAAGGGGTCTACTGGTGTGGTTCAGTGGTTGAGCATCAACCTATGAACCAAAAGGCCATGGTTCAATTCCAGTCAAAGCACATGCCTGGGTTGCAGGCTCAATCCACAGTAGGGGCATGCAAGGGACAGCTGATTAATGATTCTCCCTCATCATTGATGTTTCTATCTCTCTCTCCCTCTTCCATCCTCTCTGAAATCAGTAAAAATATACTTAATAAAAAAGGTCTTGCTGTCCCATTCAGGGGGCCTAGTGTGCACAGCAGATGGCCTCCAACTGTTAGCTCACTTTTGGTCTGCCTCAGCTGCAGTCCTGTCCCTCCCAGGGCCCATATATGCTAACCAGCAAAGGGAGGAGTATAAAGGCTGGGTGGCTGTGGGACACTCCGACCTACAATACTAGCTCCAGAGCTCCCTGTCTCATCATTTGCTCTGGCAAACCTAATTGCACCTCAAATGAACTCATGCAACCAACATGAACAGAATTACCATCTCATACCTCTTACAACTGACTGAAGCTGCAAATGGGGAGTATCAGTCAAAATTCTTGTCACTACTTCCAGTGATAATTTTACTTGAATCCGAGAAAACAAACCAAGTTCCTTTTTATTTTTATTCAGGGATATTTTTATTACTCTTTATTTTTGAAAATATTACATAAGCCCCTTCCCCCTCCAGCTCCGTTGACCTCTGCCAGCATTACCCCGACCCTCTGCCCCAGACCTTCACTACCCTATTATCTGTGTTCCTGGATTATGCATATAATTCAAGTTCATTGGTTGATCTCTTCCCATCTGCCCACTCTCCCCTGCCTTCCCTCTGAGGTTTGACAGTCTAATCAAGTGCTTTCTATGTCTTTGGATCTATTTTTGTTCATTAGATTCCACAGATGAATGAGATCATGTAATATCTTTATCTGACTGGCTTATTTCAGGCTTATTTTGCTTAGCATAATATGTTCCAGGTCTTTACATGCTGCTGCAAATGGTGAGTTTTCTTTTTCACAGCTTTATAGTATTCCATTGTGTAGGTGTACCAGATTTTTTTGTGTTTAATATATATTTATGCTTATTGACTTCAGAAAGAGGAAGAGAGAGGGAGAGGGAGAGAGATAGAAACATCAATGAAGAGAATCATGTGCCCTTGATTGGAATTGAACCTGGGACACTTCAGTCTGCAAGCTGATGCTCTATCCACTGAGCCAAACCAGCTAGAGTTAGATGTACCAGTTTTTCGTTTGTTTGTTTTTAATATATTTTATTGATTTCTTTACAGAGAAAGAGAGAATTAGAAACATCGATGAGAGTCATCCATCAACTGCCTCTTGCACGCCCCCCTACTGGGGATGTCCTGCAACCAAGGTACATGCCCTTGACCAGAATCAAACCTGGGACCCTTCAGTCCGCAGGCTAATACTCTATCCACTGAGCCAAACCAGTTTCGGCTAGATGTACCAGTTTTTAATCCACTCATCTGCTGATGGTCACTTAGGCTGTTTCCAAATCTTAGCTATTGTAAATTGTGCTGCTATGAACATAGCATACATTCTTTCTGTCAAGTTACTCTTTAAATGGCCTACCTGCTTAGCCAAAATATTACTGTAGCCCTATCCACAATAGTTTTCTACCTAAGTTTGCATGTACACACACACCCCAGATACTTATGCATGGCTTAAAGTTCCCACAACCAGCACTGTATCTAGTCTAGGTAAGCTCCATCACCAATTACCTTTGGGAACCTGGGCAAGGTATCTTAGGGTACCTGGGCAAGGTATCTTAGGGTTTTCTGGTGGGTAAATGAGCTATTACATTAAAATGTGTGTAGAACAGCCTTGGCTTGTGTGGCTCAGTTGGCTGGGCATTGTCCTGTGCACCAAAAGGTTGCCAGTTCAACCCATGTCAGGCCACACGCCCCAGGTGCAGAGTCCTGGTAGGGATCCTGCAGGAGGCAGCCAATTGATGCTTCCTTTTCACATTGATGTTTCTTTCTCTCTCCCTTCTCCTCTGAAATATACAAACATTTAGGACCAGCCTGGCCACTGTGGCTATGGTTGAGCTGGACCTATGAACCAGGTCACCCTTGGGTTTCAGTCAGGGCACATGCCCAGGTTGTGGGCTTGAACCCCAGTGGGGGTCATACAGAAACAGCTTATCCATGATTTTCTGACCCATGATTCTCTCTCATCATTGATACTTTTCTCTCCCTCTCCCTTCCTCTCTTGAAATAAATAAAAACTTTTTTTTTAATTTAGGAGCAAATGTTTGCTTCTATTATCAATCCTAGGAAATCATCTATGCAAGCAGTCCTGAAAATTGTGTTCAATTAAGGGTTGAGCTTTTTTTTTCAATGTCTATGAAATTTATTCACATATCAAAGGAGCATATTTAAGAAAAATAAGAACTGCCCTGGCTTTTGACTACCAGTTGGATACTTTCTGTCATTGGTGCAGTGCCTGTAAACATGATCCAATTTTCATTTAGCTATTTCTACCGGGCCTCGAAAGGCTAAACTATCGCAAACATTTGGGACCTACTGTTTAATGTACTTTAACAATCTTCCCCCAAGAAAATGTAAATATTTCCAAGTGCCAGTTTGAAAAACCAACTGCACGGATCTCACACAAAATGAAAATACACAACCCGCAGGCTTTTGCGATGTTGTTTTTTAGAAGAGAGGGAGTAGGGCTGCGGCTGAAAAACCCGAAAGCTGCGGCTCGCAAACAGTTCTGGGGACTGGCCGGCGGATGAGAACGCCGGGCGCTCCTTGGGGAGGGGCTCAGCGGGCGAGAGATGCCGAGACTCAGCGAGCCGACTCTCATCTCTCCCGTGGACACCGCGGAGACGCCGCTATCCCTTACCCATCCCACACGGCGCCTCTCCGGTCCCATTTGGGGTCACCACCAGCCAAGAGCTCTGGTGAGAGGGGCGCCCCAAGGCTCAGCTCTCTGCCGGAGCCAGCGGGGGCCCCAGACACACCAGCTCCGGGAAGCGGGGTAGGGAGTTGGGGGGCGATGGCCGGGGAAGGCGAAGGGCGTTTTCGACCCAGATCTCAGTGGGAAAATCAGAAAAAGAGGGGGCGGTAATGCAATCGAAGCCTGGGGTGTGGCTCGGAGAACAAAGAGGCCGTGGAAGCCCAGAGGCGCTCCGCTCCTCCGCGCGCGCCTCGCGGTCCAGCGAATTCTATCGGGTCCCCAGAGCTGAGAATTTGAGGATTCTCGAACCCAGCCCGGGCCTGCAGGACCATAGACTCCGTCCCGCAGCACCGGGCATCTGCATGCCAAACGAGCGTCCGGGCTGACGCGGGCCCTGGGGAGTTTGAAAACCTTCGCCCTAGCCTGACAGCACCTCGGCCTCACTGACACGACTCGCCCAGCACCACGGCGGCGGCGGCGGCGGCGGCTTGGCCACGCCCACCGCGCCGGGACCTTTTCCTTAGTCCCGCCCCCTGCTCAGCGCGGATTGGTGACGAGGAGCAAGGGCGGCGCTGATTGGCTAGCGGAGGCGTCGCTCGTGGGAGACTGTGATTTGGGGCGCTCCGGGGTGCTAAATTTATCTTCTGAAGAGCGACCGCGCCAGCCGCGAGCCGGATCTCTGTGGAGGTGGCCTAGGCGGTACCCCCGAACCGAGAGCATCACCCTGTCCCCAACCCTCCTTCCCTGTTTTATTTTCCATTTCCCTCCTCTCGCCTCCTTCCCCCACCCCACCCCCCAGTCCGCGACGACTGGCTCTTGACCCTGTCCAGGCCTCGGTGAAGGTGAGGACCCGCGCGGCCGCGGCGGCTGGTGGTGCGCCCCGAAATGGCCGCCGCCAGGAGCTGTCTGTCTAAGATGGCGGCCGCGAGCTCTGCTGCCCTGCGGCCTGGCCGCGCTAGACCGTGCTCTCCATCCCTGGCGGGGACGAAGTAGGATAAGCTAGTCATGGGGTGCTCAGGCGCGTCCATGTGGTAGTGAGCCGAGGCGGCCGTCCGGGGCCCCAAGAGGAGATGTGTGCAGGCGAGGGTGGGCTCCGACAGGGAGCGACCCCAGACGTGGCGGCCTGCGAGCTTCGCACACCGAGGACAGGGGAGAGCTGAGGGGACCATTGCTGAAAGCATTTCGGTGTTGGTAGGGGTGTCCTTCCCAGGCTTTTTTCTGAATGGCCTGCACACTTCCCGAGCCCTCCTGTCCCTGAGGGTATTGTTCAAACGCCTGAGGGCGGTGGTGAAGGGATGGTGCTGCCTGTCAGTGTAACCGGAAGAAACAAACAAAACAAAAAACAAAAATGAGGGAGCCGCCCTTTTCTGAGAGCGGAATGGAAACTTTGCTCTCTAGGGAGTGCAGACTCCGTCCTCGAGAGTGTGGGGGAAGCACCGCTGAGGAGGTGGGGCTGAGGCCCACTTTCCTGAAAGCAGGCTTCCTGCCCCGCTGTGCCCTCCGGCAGCAGAGGAGAGGGATCCCGATCTTTTAGATCCGCCAGCAACTCCCCGAAGTTCTCTGTTGCTAAATCCAAATAAGAGACTATGGGAAGGACATCTGCTCTTTTGCTCCCATTCATCGAGAAGTGGTGCTTTCTGCTGCTGCCAGTTTTTGAGGTCCTCAACTTTCTGGCAGTTGTAACCCGTGTCTCCCTGCACCACCCAACTTCTGATAGCAGATATTTTAGTGCTTGATTATTCAGGGACACACAAGTAATGGCGAGGCATGTAAGGTACTGCACTCAAACTTTTGGGGTTCTTGTTAGTTCTTCACTTAAAAGGTGACTTCTCTGTGTCTGTTCATCACTAAAGTGGCGTTATTGATAGTCCCTGGCTCTGAGGTTTGTTTTAAGGATGAAATGAGTTCTGTAAGGGATTTAGCAATTACTGGCTGAACAGTGACCACTCAGTATGCATTGGTAACCTTGGAGATTGGTTAATGAGGGGACCCATGGTTATAGCAAAAAGGCATATTTCATGTAACACTTCCATGTATAGGTTGCTTCCATTTTAGATGACTCTTAGTGCTTGGTTTTAGAGACAATTAAAGTGTGGCTATACTTTTAAAAGTTAGGTTTAGTTTTTGAACATTTCTATGAAGTCACTGGATGGAAGAGCATCTCAAAACAATGAAGTTACCAGGGTATTAAATAGGACAAAAATATTAGCATATTTATTATGGGCATTTATGTTTCAGTCTAAGATCTGCATTGCCAGGATCTAAAATAAATTGTAATGGGTGGTCAATTCAGAGGTATGTAGTTAATGCTGCTTTTACAATCTCTAATTTAAATTTTTCTCATTCTAGGCTATTGATTATTCCCCTTCCATCCCACCCCTTAATTTTATTCTTTTGAAGAGTCTGTATTTCAAGCTGCCAAGGTGGAGAATGTGATTCCAGAAGGGGAGTACTCCTCATTTCAGGTATCTTACCCTCTAGCTATTAATAGGAAACCATTTTGATTTAAGATCTAATTGAGACTACAAAGCTTACTCTGTAGCCATGTCATAAAGTGTAAATCAAGAGTAGCTATATTTGGATAGATACTAAAATCTTATATCTTAACTTATGAAGCTAGTTTTATTCTTTAGAGGTCATAAAATTTGTATTACCCTTTTAATTTATGCTTTAAAAAAGTATAAGGAATAAACCTAATAAAATTACAATTTATGTTTTTAGGTCTTGGTTAAGTATTCATCTATAATATAACGGGATGCAGAGTAATCAGTAAAATATACATCATTTTGAATGAGTCGGTTTGGATAATGTAAATATGTAATCTTAAGTTCAGAGAAATAGTAGCTAATTTTTGGTCTATAGTTTATTTTTCAATTTCAACACTGTATTTAGTATATAGCAGAATTCCATGTCTTGCAAAACTTGAACTCTTTGTGTGTGTGTTTTTTAATAAATCTTTATTGTTCAGATTATTACATTTGTCCCCCCCCCCCATAGCTTCCCTCCCCCTGGTCCCCACTCCACCCTCTGCCTTTACCCCCCACACACACCCCTTCAACCCCCTGCTGTCCTCATCCATAGATACGTATATGATTTTTGTCCAGTCTCTTCTCGTACCCCCAATACAGACACCCCTTTCCCCCTGAGAATTATCAGTCCCCTCCCATTCTATGCCCCTGATTCTATTATATTCTCTTTGTGTGTTTTTAATACAGCTTCATAGTTATTAGCCCTGAAAGGAGCCTTCAGATATATAATAGTATCAACAATGAATGTATCTAATGGCAACAGGCATCAGAAAGCTAAGAGAGATTCCAAGATACCATGAAAAGGGGTTGGTAAATTATGCCCTATGCTGTTTTTTTTAACACAACTGTGCCCATTTTTTATGTATTGTGCTGCCATGTTACAAGTATAGAATTGAGGAGTTACAACAGAGTCTATATGGCTCACAAGTAAAAAATATTGATTATATGGCCCTTTACAGAAAAAGTTTGCCAACCCATGGCATGGGAGATTCTTCAAGTTCCTTTAAAAACATGCTTATCAATTCTATTATTTCTTAACCCAATAGTTGTGTTTTATAGAATATTAATGTTCTCTAATAAGTATTCTGAGAAAAAAAGGTAATGGTAACAGTAGATTTTTTAATAGTTCATCTTAAGATATAAGTTTAAGACTACTAAACTCATTTCTATAGCTTTTATTTTTATGTGATAATCTACCTTTAAGAAAAGGTGTGCCATACCTGAGAGCACCAGGAATTCGCATGAGAGATCACCTGATAGACGAACGTGTGATGCTCCATCTGCGCATTGATGCATAGGCAGCATTTACAAATTAACTGATGTGTTGCTATATATCATCTCTTTGATGATTGCTCATCTTCTATATATCCTGTCTTATAATTTCAACAAATTTGTCATACTCAATGTTTATTTTAAACTAACCATGTTTTGTACCACAAATACATTATCTATGGATCTATTGCCGAAACAAGGAAGTCTTAAACAAGAAGTAGAATCATTTTATCAAATTGTGTCTGAATCACATGATCAAAAAGTTGGAATATTACAAAGTGACGATGAACAGTTGCAGCCATCAGTTTCTAAAAAATCAGAAGATGAGCTTTCCAGGGTTCAATTTATGTCCAATTCCAACAAAATAACATTTAGTAAGAAACCAAAAAGAAGAAAATATGATGAAAGTTATTTGTCTTTTGGATTTACTTACTTTGGAAATAGAGATGCACCTCATGCTCAGTGTGTGTTATGTAAGAAAATTTTATCAAATAGCTCTTTGGCCCCTAGTAAGCTTCGAAGACATTTGGAAACTAAACATGCTGCATATAAGGACAAAGACATAAGCTTTTTCAAGCAACATCTTGATTCACCTGAAAATAACAAACCCCTACCACCTAAAATTGTCAATACAGATAATGAAAGTGCTACAGAGGCATCGTACAATGTAAGTTACCACATAGCCCTGAGTGGAGAGGCTCATACTGTTGGAGAATTGCTTATCAAGCCTTGCGCAAAAGATGTTGTGATGCGGATGTTTGATGAACAATACAGTAAAAAAATAGATGCTGTGCAACTATCAAACAGCACTATTGCACGCCGAATTAAGGATCTAGCTGCTGACATTGAAGAAGAGCTTGTTTGTAGACTGAAAATTTGTGATGGGTTTTCGCTGCAGCTAGATGAATCAGCTGATGTTTCAGGACTTGCTGTGCTACTTGTGTTTGTTCGTTACCGGTTTAATAAGTCTATTGAGGAAGACCTATTCTTATGTGAATCTCTGCAAAGTAATGCTACTGGTAAAGAAATTTTCAACTGCATCAACAGTTTTATGCAGAAACATGAGATTGAATGGGGGAAATGTGTTGATATTTGTAGTGATGCTTCTAGGGCAATGGATGGAAAAATTGCTGAGGCTGTTGCCTTGATAAAGTATGTGGCTCCGGAAAGTACCAGTAGTCACTGCCTATTATATAGACATGCTCTAGCAGTTAAAATAATGTCTACATCTCTAAAGAATGTGCTAGATCAAGCAGTACAAATCATCAATTATATTAAAGCTCGACCACATCAATCCAGACTATTAAAAATTTTATGTGAAGAAATGGGTGCCCAGCACACAGCACTTCTTCTAAATACAGAGGTGAGGTGGCTTTCCCGAGGTAAAGTTCTTGTAAGACTTTTTGAGCTTCGTCGTGAACTATTGGTTTTCATGGATTCTGCTTTCCAACTGTCTGATTGTTTAACAAATTTATCTTGGCTCCTAAGACTTGCATATCTTGCAGATATTTTTACTAAATTAAATGAAGTTAATCTGTCAATGCAAGGAAAAAATGTGACAGTGTTTACAGTATTTGATAAAATGTCATCATTGTTAAGAAAATTGGCGTTTTGGGCCTCATCTGTAGAAGAAGAAAACTTTGATTGTTTTCCTACACTAAGTGACTTTTTGACCGAAATTAATTCTACAGTTGATAAAGATATATGCAGTGCCATTGTGCAGCACTTACGGGGTTTGCGCTCTACTCTGTTAAAATATTTTCCTGTAACAAATGACAATAATGCTTGGGTTAGAAATCCATTTACAGTATCTGTTAAACCAGCCTCATTAGGTGCACGGGACTATGAGAGCCTGATTGATTTAACATCTGATTCTCAAGTGAAACAAAATTTCAGTGAACTTTCCCTAAATGATTTTTGGAGTAGCCTAATTCAAGAGTACCCAAGCATTGCAACACGTGCAGTTCGGGTACTTCTTCCTTTTGCTACAATGCACCTGTGTGAAACAGGATTTTCATATTATGCTGCAACAAAAACAAAATATCGGAAAAGGCTTGATGCTGCACCTCACATGCGGATCCGACTTAGCAACATTTCACCTAATATTAAGCGGATATGTGATAAAAAGACACAAAAACACTGTTCACATTAAAATTGAAGGGTTTTGCATGTCTCATGATAACCAAATATAAGATGAAAATAAAAGATGATTTACTTTATATCTGGCATTTTGGAATTTTAAATAAAATTATTCAAGTTTTTTATATTTCTTAGATTTTAAGAAAACTAAAAGAAACAAAAATTTAAATATGTATTATGAGTATTTCTTCTTCACATAATTTCAAAGGGTCTCATGGTTATAACTCTTATCTTGACTCACAAGATAAAGTCCCAATTCCTTAACATAACATACCTCTTTAGGGTCTAATCTTTCAAGCCATGTCTATCCTGCAGCCCACCAGTCTCATGGAATTTCTTGCCATTCCGTAAACATCACATTGTTTCATGCTGTCAGGTCTCAAAAAACTATTCCTTCCCCTTCTTGCTTCCTGACAAATTCCTATTTGCTTTTCAGCACTATGACTGAATTTATCTTAGGTACTCTCATTCTCTCTATCTTTCTATTTTGGCCTTATTTTTTATATCTGTCTCAACTGTGATAGTTTGAAAGTCTCATGATTCCCAGTTGGACTGAGCTCTTAAAGGGTCTTATCCAGCTCTGTGTCTTCATTATTGGCAAAAGGACTTATTGAAGTGATGCTCAATAAAGGAAGGAATGTTGAAGGTAAACAACAATAAATGGAATAGGGTGTGGTGGATTATATTTACAAAATGCTACCCTTTGTGATTTTAGCTCAGTTGCTCTGTTACCTAGAATTCAGGATGGCTCTTAGGCAAAAGTCACTAAGAATGATATGGCTCTGAACTATTGGGGAAGATGGGAGGAAATATGAAGAATATTTTCAGATACCTTGTTTCTCAGTTCCTATATACATTTTTGCAAATTCCATACACTGTAGTCTAAATTAATGAGTCTTGACTGTACTTGAAGATGATGAGACTCTAAACCTCTATCAATTTATTCTTAGAATACTATGAAAATTTTCTGACATTCCTGTCTCTAGGCTTCTCTTCCCATGTCACACCACACAACACAGATCACCAACTCAAGAGCTACTATGATCAAGAACTACTGCAGATAACCATTGTTTATTTAATCTCACTTACTCAAACCTGTCTCCCATTTTGAGGAGTAGGAGTAACTTCCCTCATCAGAGCAGGATGTGGCAGAATCGCTAGATCTAGGTTCCTACTCCTCTACTTAACATTGGGCAATTGAGGCCTCCTGAACCCCTGGTATTTATTTCTTCTGTGAAGGGTTATTCAAATTAAATGAGAATGCATAAAAAACTTAGAACCGAGTGATTAGGAATAGATATGTAGCATATATTAGTTCCTTGCATATACAACTATGTCTCAGTTAAATTTCACTCCACACTCACACTTCTAGTCTTGAGTTTTTATTCTCTATGCAAACAGCCCTTCAGGTGACAGGAACTGAGTTCATCTGCGGCGGCAAGATTAAGCATCTCTAGCCCCTGCTTTTTCCCCTTTGTCACATAATTAAGCAGCTGTTTATATATAGGTATCTTACTAGATGTTTGTATCCTACCTATGATCTTTACAACAATCCCAAAGGATTAGGCAATTTTTTAATTTGGTCATGGTCACACAATAAATGCCAGCATTTGGTTTTTTTGTTGTTGTTTTTAATTTATTTATTTTTAATATATTTTATTGATTTTCCACAGAGAGAAAGGGAAAGGCATAGAGTGCTAGAAATGTCGATGAGAGAGAAACATTGACCAGCTGCCTCCTGCACACCCCTTACGGGGATGTGCCCGCAACCAATGTACATGCCCTTGACCGGAATTGAACCTGGGACCTTTCAGTCCACAGACTGACGCTCTTTCCACTGAGCCAAACCGGTTTGGGCCAGAACTTGGTTTTGCAAATTCCATACACTGTAATCTAAATTAATGAGACTTGACTGTACTTGAAGATGATGAGACTCTAAACCTCTATCAATTTATTCTTAGAATACTATGAAAATTTTCTGACATTCCTGTCTCTAGGCTTCTCTTCCCATGTCACTACCAGCACTTTTGCAGTTACTACCTTTCACATTTTTCTAATAGCATCAAAGAGTGAATTGGAAGTACTGGATACCTAAAACATCCTACTAAAATCTGAACATTTCTTTGAAATTTTGTATTATTTTTTCTAGATTTGTCCAAAATTAGCTACTTCAAAGTATTACTGCTTATTTTAAATATATATATATATATATATATATATATATATATATATATAAACGGATTACATTGCTATCAAGTAAAATTATTTTTCAAAAAGATTCATTGTCATAACACATGCAATACTTTTTGTTTGCTTATCCCAGGATTAAATCTACCCTAGTTTGAGAAGCATGTATGATGCCATAATGTCTATATCTTACGGATACCTCAAGTCTGATAACTAGACCCCTTCTATGATTGCTGAACCAGAGCCCTTGATTATGTCATCTGTCCAGGATGTCAGCCTCTTGACAAATGAGACCTCTTGTGCTTTATAATTTTCCCCCTAACCTCTTCTGAGACTTTAGATTCCTGCATTTAAATTTATCTATTGACTGGAACCCTCCTATCTGCTACTAAATCTCTTCAATCCCAATCCTCCCCAACTTGGTTCTTGATTAAGGTGACAGTCCCAATTCTTAACAATTTGTCCCACGGGTTTTAAAAAAGTCTCAATTTCTTTCAAAAAAAAAGGGACTTTTTTAAGATGCTGTGGGACACAGAACAAATTGTTAAAAATCAGGATGTCTGGTCACCTTATTCTTGAAGCCAATTGCTCACTTGTTGTATAATAATACTAGAGGCCCAAGTCTGGCCTGCATACTCTCCAATCCATGACCTCTCAGGAGACATCCAACTGCCACATGGATTGGGCCTAAACCGGCAGACTGACATCCCTCTCATGATCCAGGACCACTGGCTTCTAGCTGCTCACCTGCCTGCCAACCTGATCCTCCTAACTGCTCTCCCCTGCCGTCCTGATCACCCCTAACCGCCTCGGCCCCACCACCATGGCTTTGTCCAAAAGAACATCCACTCTAATTAGCATATTACTCTTATTAGTATAGACCAGTGGTCAGCAAACTCATTAGTCAACAGAGCCAAATATCAACAGTACAACAGTTGAAATTTCTTTTGAGAGCCGAAAACCAACTTCTGCGCATGGGCCACAAAGTTTCAATTGCACTGTATGTGTGTGCCAGCACATGGCATTTTGTAGAAGAGCCACATTCAAGGGGCCAAAGAGCTGCATATTTTCATCTTGTCTTTAAATGACAGCTACCCTTCCAAGCTTGTTCATGAAACAGTAAAATTTTCCTAATGTGTTCAACCCAAAAGGACTTTCCCACTTTTAATATCTATATTTCTAGTAGTTGTAATTGTCTTCATTTCTTAATGAGGGTTATTTCCTATGTCATTTTTGTGCTATTACCGTACATATGTAAATATACAAGTTATACTTTTTTTAGCTAAGACTTCTTTTGGATCATTCACAGAACTTTAATACAAAAAGTGTTTGGTGAATTGAATTCCCTAGCTTAAAGGGTTAAGTATTAATGAGAAATACAATCCATACTATAACATGAAAATTAGCCTTAAAATCCTTAGCCTCACTAAAACAGATAAGGCAGTAACTATTTGCCTTTTGAAGACTTCAAAAACATTTCTTTAATAAGTCCCCCTGTTGCTTTAAAAAAAATGCACTTTAACTCCCCAAAATATAACTCAGCTTTTTTATTTGTTTTGTGGGGTTTTTTATTGTGTAAAGTTTTACATGCCTCCTTTTTCCCTGATTGACGACTCTCCCTGCACCCCGCCCAGCCCCAAGCCTGGTTTTGTTTTTTTGTTGTTAATCCTCACCCAAGGATATTTTTCCATTAAATTTTAGAGAGAGGGGAAAGACAGAAACTAAATGATTACTTGCCTCCTGTGTAAGTCCTGACACTATCCACTGAGCCAAATTGGCTAGGGCTACCTATAATTCTTGGGGGAAAAAACATCTAGATGCCTCTGAAATATAGCATGTTTATTTGCTTTCATCTTTTCAAGCTGCTGTAATTGCACAGTTCATTAGTACAATGGAAAGAATTCTAAGCAGGTATCAAGAGACTTGTGTTCTGCAACTAATTAACTGCCTTAGATAAGTTCATCCTCTCTAGAACTTAGTTTCTTCGTTTATTAAATGAAAGGGATTGGATAAGAATGGGCCCTAAGTTCTTGTCAAATAAGATCATAATTTAAACCTAAATAAAGGCTAGCACAATGGTAAGATGTGCTCAGTTAGTTAAAATACATGGTGGTTTTCTAGGAAGCCAACCTTTTTTAAAAAATATTTTTATTTCAGAGAGAGAGCAATATCAATGATGAGAATCATTCCAGCTGCCTTCTGCACACCCCACACTGGGGATCGAGCCCACAACCTGAGCATGTGCCTTGACTGGAAATCGAACTGTGATGTCCTGTTTCATAGGTCAATGCTCAACCATGCCAGCCACTAAGCCTTGCTGACCAAGAGGAAGCCAAGCTTTTTCAGTGACTCTTTTTACCATAATATTTTCCAACAATCAAATTATAAGATGTATAAATTGCCTCCTCATGAATACTTAATATACAGAAGGAATGAAGTGCTTTTTCAGAAGGGAGATGCACTTTGAAATTTAGAAAGCATTGGAAAAACTAAAATATGTTTGATTATGACTATATTGAAATCCAATGTAGATTAAATAATAATTAAAGTGGTAGACAGGCTGCAGTGGAAATTGCTATGTCCCCAGCATCTCTTTTCCTCTCTCAAACAATTCCCTCATTTTCTTTCAAGTGTCTATTCTTCCCCTATACCAGTATAATCCATGTATGTAAGCAAAAGCCAACTCCTCTCCAGCTTGAGGAATTTTGTCTTAAGCTAGTAGCTTTCAAATTTTTTTTTACTCCAATTCACATTAAAAAACAGATTTTACATTATAATGTAGGTGTGTATAATATATGTATGAACACCAAAGTCATAAAACTAACACTTCATATGTGCAATGCAATCTCAAATCTAGTTGTTAAAAAATAATTAGGACCCAAAGATTAAATTT